TTTTTTACACCATATATATATCCAGTTACATGGCCAGAGGATGACATCTTCCGACAAACTATTAGTCTCCTAATTGTGACAAATATTGGTGCTTATATCCTTTATTTCCTCTTTGCATCACTGAGCTATTACTTTGTCTATGATCATACATTGATGAAACATCCACAATTTTTAAAGGTAAGTGATTTTCTCACCTACTTTGTAACTAATGTTAGAATAAAAATTAACAGTGTGATGTATTTGTGAGATTTTCAGATTAAACTGGTTTTATATATAACCATAAAATAAAGTTTTGAAACCCCTCAAATGAATTCGACGCTTGGTGGGGCTAATCTCGTCTCTCCTTCCTGTTAAATAAATGAAGGCAAATTTAAAAAATGAAAAAAAACTACAAGCCTGGTATCTTGCTACGTATTTAGACATTGCTTTGCTAATAGTGATGAATAAATAAATGCACACATTTATGTTCTTAGTTTAATGGATGACTTTCACAAACTGAAATCTTTTTACTATGTAGGTTTTCATTTGACTAGATAGGAGATTCAAGCTAAGTAGTTTCAGAGTTAATGATAATCATTTTTCTATTTCAGTTATTTGTATTTTTCAGTTACTGAAAATACAGGAAAAAAATAATGAGGCTAGTAGTTAATTATGAAAGGAATAATTATTCCTGAAATCAGAATTTAGAATACAGACTATGTGGAAAGGGAAAAAAAAGTTTTAGAATTTTAGAATTTAAAATATTTAGTGCATTTATGTATCACAAAAAATGTCTTTCTTGGAAACAATTAGTCCTAGAGACTGGTACACCGTTCCATCTACAGCCTGTACAACTGTGAGACCAGAAGAACTACCTGGTGCCAGGCTACCACTGTCATCCACTTGGAAGGGGATCTATGTAGGAGATCCTTGAGAGAGAAGGAGAACAATGTGGAAAAAAACTCAAAATCACTTGGAGAAAAAAAAAGGGGGGGGGGGGACCAGGTTTGCTGGTCCAATAGAGCCTGGTGGAACCACTGAGACTATGGCTTCATATCTAGAATTGAACCCACACCTGTGGTTTCCAGCCAAACAAAATACAGGCATATGAGTTGAACGTTTACCTCAAGTAGATACACTCTTTGGAGAGAACAATCATGGGAGAAAGAAGGGCTACTTATGCACAGGGAGACAGCTCAGGGGGCAGGAATGTATGGAGGGATGGACACTGGGAAGAGGTAACTATGGGGAGGAAGTGGGAGGGAATCTGTTGCATTGTGGTAAACTGGTCAATGACGTGAGACAAAGTATATGTGGACTGCTGTATGGAAAGTGAATTTGCTCTGTAAATCTTCACCCAAATCACAATTAAAAAAAAAAAAAAAAAGAATATCTTTCTTGCGCATGTATTCCCATATATTAAAATTGTAATAGAAATAGTTTAGAGGTAAATACCCTTAAATAAAAAGAGAGTTTTAAAAAATCCAATCTAAAACAATTTTATGCTACTTTTGCTTATAAGGAGCTCTGGTGGCACAGTGAGGGAAGATGGGCAATCAACTTCTGTAAAGAGTTACTGGCTGTGAAGCCCAATGGGGGTCTCTGTGAGTTGGAATCAACTCAGTGGTAGTGAGTTAGGTTTTATTTTTTGTTTGCTTGATGTAGATTTATGTTGATAAGTCAATTTTTCTAATTTTAAGTATCATAAATTTGATTTTCAGAATCAAGTCTATAGAGAAATTAAGTATACTGTCCAGTCGTTGCCATGGATGAGTATTCCCACTGTTTCATTGTTCCTATTAGAGTTGAGAGGTTACAGCAGATTATATGATGACATGGGAGAGTTTCCATATGGTAAGTAAACAATTTAAGTGTCAAGAGGGTGATCTGATCACAGATTGAGTTCTTTGAAAAACCAATCTCCCTCTCTTTGTTCTTCTGTTAAAATAATTATAAATTGTAAATTGTTTAGTTGCTTTTATTCTACTTTCATGGATTCATGTCTTGTCACTTATGTACATTTCTTTAGTGTTGGCTATCAATTTTAAAGTCTGTTGTGGGTAAGATTATACTTGAAGGAAGAGTGGAATGATTAAAGATAGGCCTTTGCATTTGTTTCCCTAATAGGAAATTAAACTCTAAAAAAATAAATAATTGAAGGAATAAATTATAATTGCCAAAAAATCATCAACTACCTATTTTTTTAATTTTTCATTTTCTTGCTATCTGGGAACTATAAATCTTATTGTATATTCTCCCATTTTTCTATGCGTAAATACATCATTAGTTACATTATAAAAATAAAATCTTACTATGCATACTGTTTGGACTCTTATTTTTTTTCTCTTAGAAATATATATGGCCATATTTTCATGTCAGTAAATATTGACATCATATAGTATATTACTACATATAGTATAGTACTACATTCGATAGATATCCATAATTTATTTGATTCCTAATTATTAAGACCTTTAAGTTGTTTCCTTTTCCTCTCTCTTTCTCTATTGTAAACAATCATGGGAGAAAGAAGGGCTACTTATGCACAGGGAGACAGCTCAGGGGGCAGGAATGTATGGAGGGATGGACACTGGGAAGAGGTAACTATGGGGAGGAAGTGCTGTCTTGTGCTGTCTAAACTTTTATGAAATTCTGAGATTATTTCATCAGGATATATTCCTGGTATCTAGTATATAGAAAATAATAATAATTAACAGTTAACATTTATTGAGTGTTTATTATGTACCAGCTACAGTTCTAATACTTCATATGTATCTTAGTGAATAAATGAGACATACAGAGAATTTAAGTTACTCCCCTTGTTACTCAATGAATGAAGTGGATCTTGGATTTGAACCCAGGTTTGCTGGCAGCAGCTCCCTCTCTGTCTAAGTAAGAGATTATTTAGAGTAGGGAACACATATTATACATTAGAGTGATGAGTTGCCTGGGCCTTGAAGACTAGATAGGATTATTAGTAAAAATAAAGGGAGGAAGGGCATTCTGGATAAATGGAACAGTATAAGTAAAGGTCTGGAGACTTTTCAAAATAGGTTGTGGGGAGGACAACCTGGTTAAGGTGGAAATACAGGAATGATGAAGTTGGAGAAATCAGAAATAGTTGGGTTATAAAGTAAATGCCAGGCTTAAGGTATTTAGTAAAAATTTTAAGCAGGAAGATAATATGCAAAGATAATTTGAAGGCAAATTATTAAGTAGCATTATTCTAAAAGATTTAAAAAATAAGCTATCTCAGCAGTGTCCTTTTTCTGTCCTAGATTCATGTAGATATAAAACAGTTGCCATTGAATCGACTCAACGTGTGTCAGAGTAGAACCGTGCTCCATAGGGTTTTCAGTGGCTGACGTTTTGAAAATAGATTGCCAGGCCTTTCTTCTAAGGTGCCTCTTGGTGGACTGAAACTTCCAGTTTTTTGTTTAGCAGCCAAGCACCTTAATGGTTTACACTACCCAGGAGCTGCCTCATAAATATATTTATAGTCTAATTAACTGAGGAAACATTTTAGGTGAGACATTTCATAAAACACTTCAAGTTCTTATAAGAAAGAAATAAGGAAATATTTTGGAGCAAGTTCCAGGGAGTCATGAGAGATTAATTTATAATGTAATGAAATCAGATAGTTTATGGTGTTTGAGCCTGGGATCCCATTTTGCATTTAGATGAACGTGTGAAAGGTGAGCTCTGACCCTGGAAACCAAAACTTAATTATGGTGTTCTCTATTGACTCTTCTAGGTTGGATTCAACTTATTGTTAGTGTAATATCCTTCCTCTTTTTCACCGACATGTTGATCTATTGGATCCACAGAGGCCTTCACCATCGACTTGTATATAAGGTAGAGTCATTTGTAGGAGAAACAGGAAAAAAAATTACACCTTTCAACAGTGTATGATTATAAATTCTATTCTCTATTTCTAAGAATTTTCTCCATTATATACTTAAGTAGCCATAGTCATGATAGGTACCAGGTATGTTTTGTTCATATTCCTTTTTGGGTCTAGTGAGACTATATTAAAATTTTACTCTTTTGGGACAAAGAAAGGGGGCATTTTATGAAATAGTTTTGCCAATTTCAAAGGACATTTTCAGTTAGGTTATTTCCATAGCATGAGTCTGAAAAGCTAAATTAAATGTTATGCTGGATCATATTTGTGGTGCTAATGATGTCCTTTTCTTCTGTAGCGCATACACAAACCTCATCATATTTGGAAGATTACCACTCCATTTGCAAGTCATGCTTTTCACCCTGTGGATGGTTTCCTTCAGGGACTACCTTATCACATATACCCTTTTTGCTTTCCCTTACACAAAGTAGTCTATTTAACTTTATACATCCTGGTCAATATCTGGACAATTTCCATCCACGATGGTAATTATCGTGTCCCCAAAATTTTAAGACCATTTATTAATGGCTCAGCTCATCATACAGATCACCATCTATTCTTTGACTATAACTATGGACAGTATTTTACATTGTGGGATAGAATTGGAGGCTCGTTCAAATATCCTTCTTCTTTCGAAGGGAAGGGACCACTTAGTTATATGAAGAACATGACAGAAGAAAAATGCAACAACCATGCAGGAAATGGTTGGAAAAATGAAAAATTATTCAATGGAGAGTGTACAAAGCATGAGTAGATTATTGCACAATTATTCTTAAGAATTTTTAATAAGTAAAATAATCTCCATACAGCAAAGAGTCTTACCAAGTAAATGGTATAATTCAAAACTCAGCACTGTAGGTACTGCTGAGGAATGACCCTAATGGTAGATCAAAGGAAATGCTGTGAGCACCAAGCTTTTAACTTCATGATTAAAATGCCAGGCGTTGGTTCAAAGGACAACTTGGTTATTTTGAGTCAACAGATCTATAGTTCTATACCCACAATGTCAGTTTTTTAAAAGATAGAAAATAAATTACTGAAGGGACTAAGCTATGTCCTTTTGCCTTAATCCACCCATATGATATGTATTGAGAAATATCCATTGTGCTTAATGATACCAAGACTAAGAACCATATCAAAGAAATACTACTATAAAAATGGTTCTTTGTTTCTGAAATGCTAAGTGTTTGTTTTGGGATGAAGATGATTACTTGTACTTTATTCAGGTGGAAACATAGCAATGTGAAAAAAAAATTCTGAAATAACATATTTAGCAGTTATATAAATGACCCGATTAATAGCAGGTATAATAAGATTACCATCTTCCTACATATAGGAAGCTCATTCCTTGGGGACATTGTCAAATATTTACATTTTACTGATGAATAAATAAAATGGAATTTTAAAAATATCAGTACGACCATGATTTAATCCAGATCTGGAATTGTTTGACTGAAGATTTTGTTTGTTATTATTTAAAGCCATTATTTAATGAGTGTAAAATATTTGAATTTGAATATATTTAGAAAGGGAAATTTGATACCTGAATAATATATTTGACACTACTGATTTTTTAAATATTAAATTGATGCACTGCACTTTTGATAGGTTTCAAAGTTATAAATGTATACTTTTCTATAAAAGGAAATAACTGCCAAATATTTAGGTCAATCACTAAAGATTAGTTTTGAAATCTTCCTCTTCTTCTTCTCCCATCTCCATTTTCTCTGCAAAAAGATTTAACAAATACTTTCATAAAGAAATGTGCATTGTAATATATTAGGAAAACATGGTTTACAAAGGCATCTGTAAGCTATTTATGTGGAATTAATAAAAGTTGATAATGACTATTAATAAAGTGTATCAGTTAAATATTTTAATAGCACAAAGTATTCTTTATACAAATTTTGTGTCAATTGCAACCACAGAAATGATGTGATCTATCAAAACTCTATTAGAATGTCCCCAGATACTCAGTGTTAAGGGGAAAAAGAGAAGAAGGATATCACATTCTGTTTGTACTTCACATGTGTATTTGATTTGAGTGTTTTGCAAGAAGCTGGTCATAAAATTGAATGCCTGGGTTCCAGAAAAAGTTTTTTTTTTTTTTTCTCTTCAAATTTCTGTTATAATGTTATCTTACTTTACTGTACCAATGTACCAACATACCAATTGATATTTTGTAGCTGGTAAATGCAGCTGAGTGCTTCTCACTAGTACCCCCTTTCCTCCTACCCAGTACTCCAATTTTCCTAAGAAAAGAAGGAAATTAAGGAGAAATAAACTTTGTTCCCTAATAATAATGACATTTAATAAGTCAGAATCAACCAGTAGCACGTAACAACAACAACATTTATTGAGATTTTGTCAGGCACTAGTACAAGTCCTTGACATGAGGAGACTGAGACCCAGACAAGTTAAGTAACTTTCCCAGCATGTAGTTGGTTAAGCATTTGTCTGCTGACTGAAAGATTGGCAGTTCTAACTCACCAGCTACTCTGTGAGAGAGAGATGGGGCAATCTCCTTCTGCAAAGATTAAGGTCCATTGTGGATGTTTCTGATCAGTGAGTAGCTTTCCACATAGTCATTTTGAAACTCAGGTTCTGCCTTTCTCTCAGCCCACAAGCCCTCTTTGTTGAGGGAGCAGTTAGGGAAAGAAGGCAAAGTTGACACATGGGGAATTTCTTATGTGTCAGACGTAGAAGTAGTGCATATCATTTCTGTCCACAGTCTATTCGACAAATCTTAGTCACATGGCTCACCTTAGTAAAAGAGATCCTAGAAAGTATCGCTACCCGTGTGCCTGGGAGAAAAGGGAAACAAATCACTTTCTTGAACAACCAGCTAGTTTGCTATATCTAGTAATTTAGTCCCCTCTTTTGGTGGATCCCAAGGTCATAAAGGTATTAAAAAGATGGTTGCCCTCAGAAGTATTTCAAGTTCTCCATGCACTGGTTATTTTAGTCTGATTCCATAACTATAATTTTAAGACTGTTATTCTCCAGATTCTTATATTCCCATGTAGTTTATGGAGAAGAAGGGACGTAATTTATGGGTTGAAGGAGGCTTCCTAAAAGGGTTTAGAAATAATCAAACTAGTTCTCTTCCCTCCCTTCTCAAATTCTGATTGGAGAATTAGAGAAGAGTGGTGTTCTGGTTACCTAGTGCCGCTCTGACAGAATTATCCCTCAAATAGGATGGCCTTAACAAACAGAAGTTTATTCTTAAGATTTGGAGGCTTTAAGTCCAAGTTTGAAGTGCCAGGTTCTAGGGGCTGGGTGAAAGCCTCTCAGCCCTGGGCTTCAGCTCTGCCTCCAGCTCCTGGCCCACTGAAGGTAGAGGCATCTCTTCACTCAGACAGCTGCTGGCTGCTGAGGCTGCCAAGTCCAAGGCTAACAAGTAACAAAGCACAATCCCGATAATACCAAATCACACAGCAGGCCATTAATTCAAGTCAGTTGTAGGTCCCAAGGTTGGTAGAGCATAGCAGGCTGCTGAACAATGATAGCTACATGCAGGGTTCAAGGTGCCATAAGCTGGAGACCATTCCCAAGGCTTCTCCTTATATACAGGAAGCAGATCACATCCCAAAGGCAGCTACTCAGCTATTTGTGGTAGATCCCACCATGGAGGTGATTGCCAGTCTCATCATGGGGAATAACTACCATCAGCTGCCCAGCCACTCAACCAGGCCCAGCCAAGTTGACACACAAACTTAACTACTACAAGTGGGAAGGAAGAGACTAGTTATTAAGCAGTATAGTTATAACATTTTTGTACACCATTGCCTCATTCTCCTAGTCCCCATTAGAGGAATTACGAGGTCCTTGCCATAGGAATATTAAATTAAAAACTACTTTTTCTATTGACTTCAAATTTTTATAGTACAGAGCAGGAAGGGAAAGTCCAAGGGTGTATTTTTCACTCCTATGATAGAAGTTGGAAAGTGGCTGGAGATGCTGAGAAAACACATTCCAAAAACTCAGAAACCTTTATTGAGTCCTCATCTGCCTCCCTATCTCTGAATGCCGTGAGTTTCCAACTTCTCATTGCCCTATGTTGTTGTTGTTGTTATGTGCCGTCGAGTTGGTCTCGACTCATAGCGACCCCTCCTTGGGTTTCCGAGGCAGTATCACTACAGAAGTAGATTGCCCTATCTTCCTTCCGAGGAGTGGCTGGTGGGTTTGAACCACCAGCCTTCTGGTCAGCAGTCAAGTGCTTTAGGCACTACACTACCAGAGCTCCTCATAGCATGATCCATTTTCCCTTCCATCTTCAAGAAGTCAGAGAGAAACTTAGAGAAATTTGGGGTTCAGTTTTTGATACATGGAGTTTACAGTGCAGGCAGATTACTTATATAGAGATGATGTCTGGGAGGAAGATGGAAACTAGGGAGAAAAGTCAGAACAGAGATTTGGGATTAATCCAGATAGAAGAGATGCTTAATGCCATGAGATTGGCAGAGCCAGCATGAAAAAAGATATCTAAAGAAACAAACCAACTTCAGGGTCTTCTGATCTTCTGGTCTTCCCAACTTCTTCAGACTTACAAAACACTTGACTGGCAGTCTTAAATAGCTTTCTATCATCCATTATAGATATATGTTTCTTATTTATTCTAGACCCTGAATGCCTTGAAAGTAAAGACCGTCTGAATCATCATTATATTAAACCATGCATCCTTACAGAACCCAAACATGGTTGAGGTTCAGTAAATACTAGTTGAATGTTCTTCCCCTCAACAAATATTTAATGAACCCTTCTAGGTGCTCCATACTGCACTAGGTGCAAGTACTTTCATCTGTAGACTTGGACTGTGTTTTCAATGAACAACTAATTTCTCATTTAGCAGACATTTGTTTGAAAGCCTTGGAGAGGCAAAGTGGGTAATGTAGAGGAATCAAAGAGGGTCCCTATATCAAAGATGGACTCTATTCCTCTTTTTCATCCAATAAACAAAACCTACCAGTGCTCTGTATTCTGACCATATATGAATCAGTGAAACAAGTACTCATTAGAGGACTGGATGAATCTGTATATGTGGTACTTAACACTGTTCTGCAAACAAAAGAGGACCCTCAAAAATACTGGTTGATTGAGCCAAGAAAGGGCAAACTTAGTAGGACCTCTGTAACTTCAACTGGAGGATAATTCTCCATCTCAGAGGAATTGTGCTAGCCAGGAGCTTTGGAATTAAATAGATGATTTTGAGTCCTGGTTCTGCTACTCGCAGATTGCATGGCCCTTGGTTTCCTCATCTGTATGTTGATGAAAATAGTGCCTATCTCATAGGATTATGTAAGATGTTAATTGCTGCCATTTTGGCTCTGACTCATGGTAACCTTAGGTATAACAGAATGAATCGTTGCCCTGTCCTACATGATCTTTAAATAAGATAGGATCATTATTATGCCAGCTGAGGTTATTCATGTAAATTGTGCTTAATACCTCTTCTTCCTAGGTTCAGTGGCTATTGTCATTACACATATAGTCCTTGATAGTAATCAGTTGGAGGAAAAAAAAAAGCCTAGATATTTTCACCTTAAAATTTGGATGGTGAAAGAAATGAGGTTAACTAGGGCAAGGGGATACAGAGGAAAATCATATAAGTAACATAGTGGCTAAGGCACTTGACTGCTAACCAGAAGGCTGGCGGTTCAAATCCACCAGCCACTCCTCGGAAGGAAGATGGGGCAATCTACTTCTGTAGTGATACTGCCTCGGAAACCCAAGGAGGGGTCGCTATGAGTCGGGTCGGACTCGACGGCACATAACAACA